GCCGCGCGCCGCGCGGGCGCCCGCGCCCGCGTTCGTCGTCGTCNACCGGAGCGGCTCGAGGGCATGGACGACGACATGAAGGAGCGCACGCGCGCGCGCAAGGCGCGCGAGCGCGCGCGCGTCGACCGGGAGATCGCCCTCGAGAAGCGCGACATCGCGCGGCCGGAGCCGTCGAAGTTCCCCCGGGACTACGAGGTCGTCTACGACTCGGTCAACGTGCGCGAGGCGCCGCGGCTCACGGCGAAGACCGTCGGCGCGCTGCCCCGCGGGTCCGTGGTGACGGCGGCGCGGGCCCAGGGCAACTGGGTCCAGCTCGAGGCCGCGAACGGCAACGCGGGCCGCTGGATCATGGTCGACGGCGACGAGTTGGGGCTCCCGGCGCTCCTCAGGCCCGTCGCCGCCGCCACGTCGTCGCCGCCGCCGCCGCCGCCCGGCGACGACGAGCCGCGGCTCTTCCGGAGCGCGGCGACGGAGCGCCCGCGCTTCGAGACCATCGACGACCGGCGGCGGCTCTGCACCGTGCTGGGGACCAAGGGCGCCGCCGTGCGCAAGGGGCCCGAGATCGACTCGGCCAAGGTCACGGTGCTCGACTACCTCGCGGTCTGCGCCTACACGGGCCGCCAGGCCGTCACGGCCGACGGCCGGCGCCGCGTCGAGATCGACGCGCCCGTCCACGGGTGGATGTCGCTCAAGTTCCTCGGGCCCGAGGGGTACGAGTAATATTACGGTAAGGCGCTCACGGGCCAGTAGGACGCGCCGAGGTGCGAGAGGCCGCCCTCGCGGCGCACGGCGACGGTCCAGTCCGCGGCCTGCTTCGTCTTCGGGTCCCGCCGGAAGCAGCGCAGCGTCAGGTCGACCGTGGACACGTCGCGCTGCCACTCCTCGCCGATGAAGGCGCAGTAGGGCGCGCCGCGGCTGTGGGCCATGACCTTGGGCAGCGCGGTGAACGTCGACGCGATCGGGAGCACGAGCGCGTCCGCGTAGCCCAGGAGCAGCGCGTCCAGGAGCATGTCCGCCGAGTTGCGCACGCAGGCGTCCCTCGAGGCCGTCATCTCCATCTTCGCCCGGATCGATAATTGCTCGTCGGCCTCCTTGACGCGCCAGCTCGAGAACACGACGCCCGCGCCGGCCTTCGGCCGCCACTGCGGCCGCGCGAAGACGTCGAGGTCCGTGCGCTGCCGTAGAATGTCGAGCGCCGACGCGTCGTCCGTCGCCACGTAGACGCGGTAGCGCTCGTAGCCGAGCGTCGCCG